CTCTCCATGGTTCATCAACATGATGTGGTGAACTAGGGAAGTTAAGCAATTTTACAATTAACATCTTATTGAAAAACAAAGTACTGATATGAAAACAGTACCTGCTGCAGCTGCAGCTTCACATGGATGGAACATGCCATGTAGGAGTTCAGTAATGCTTCCAGCATTTTACCTTTTGTGCTTCAGAGAAAAAGGAATTTTAGATTGAAGCAAGGAATCTCTGTATATCTAGAAACCTATAAGACTCAATTTCTCTTCTAGTCATCACTTCCAATCAGACAGATGGATAAATTGCTATAGAAAAAACCACAAAAGAATCTCACCTAAAACAATGACTGCATCATTTTTATTTATTTCTTACATTCTCTGTTCACACTGCAAGAAATTTAATTCTAGTTAGATCATTCTCTTGTGATACTTTTTTCTTTCATTTGATATATTTTTAAATGCTTAGAAGCATTATGACAGAAAAGCATGTATTTTTTTGCCCTGGTTTATACCCATCATCCTTACCATTACAACAAGACAAAAGCATTAAAGTAAAATTAATCATGTCAAAAGATTTTAGCAAAAAACAAGGGAGACCATGCATAAAGCATCGCTTTGTCTAGTGTGAAGTCACGCTCTGATTAAAAACATATAATGAAAGTGAAAGTAATACATCATTGCTTAGCAGTAGGGTTTTTGGGAAAGCTATGCAATTCTGAACACAAAAAATCTTTATAGGCTCTGGATTTTGCAATTATTATAGAATAACTCTAACAAACACAACATTGTTTCACTTCCTTAAAGTTTAATTAATCTTAAATGCTGCAGTTAAAACGAACAACCAAAGGAGTTCTAGAATTAAGCACAATTAGACTCCTGGCAGGACCATAACTGGTAATTAAAACCCAAGCAGCAGTGGCTGGTTCTGAGCAGTGAGGTATGAGGTGGTGACACAGAGATTCCCCCCCAAAGCCCCACATCCAGTAAGTAGTTATAAAGACTACAAAATATCACAAAATAATGAAAAGCCATTAACAGAGCAGAACTTTTGCTGTTATTGAGGTCTGTCACACCTCCTTCAGCTGTTCCATTTGTGTCACTGGGCAATGGCAGCCTGTTGCTGCTATGTGACCTATGTAGTGCCCAGCTAAAAAGTGAACAGTGTTTGGGCAGATGTAGGCTGGCCTGAAAAGAAACAATGCAGTGAAGGTATTTGCTGTACTTTATCATAAAGTCTATAAAAGCCTCAACTTTGTTCAAGCACAACTGTGCAATAAGTGTTTCAAATTAAACACCAACATGCACGTTATGATGTGTAATATCATTTATAATCTCAGATTAGGATTGTGCCCATATCAAGCAAAATTAGGTGGTAAAAATGTTTGTAGAATGCCACTAACTTACTCCTTTCTTTTCCTCTTTATTCTGCCGCTATGTTGTCAACATATAAACAATAACTCTCTGAGAAATACCAGATAGGAAAAATACACAGTAATACTAGACTGTGAAAAATCTACCGATCCCCTGAGCCATAGCATTCTTGCCTATAGATGATGACATTAAAAAATTGGAAATGGGTGCATGCTTCCCCTCCTCTCCCGGGTCTATGAACAAGGCAAGTTGTTTTCCTGATACCTTTCGAATTACTCCCATTAGTACTGATGCATTTGGTGCTTTGGCTATCCAGGCAGAGAGAGGTGGGCAGGATCCCCTGCCAATAGATCTAGTCTTGTCTAGGGAACAAAATGAGATTGCTCCTGTGCTGAGCTGTCATACTCGATAGCTCGTGCTGTTCCACCTGCACCCATCCTCGCAGCTCCAGCTGCAGTGCCATGCAGCCAGTAGTTCCTGATGGCTGATCTTCTCCTGCTCCTTATGCATCACACAAGGCAGGACACAGAGCCCTAAGCAACTGAGTGCTGAGAGTGAGCCACTCTCCCTGCTGAGAAGGCAAAAGGAAACAGGCCAGCAGCTCCCTCTCAAATGGGTCTGAAAGCTCTGAGAGTAACTGCTGGGGCTCCTCTCAGTGGAAATTCGGGCTCCTCACATCCACCTCCTCCTCAATGGCCCTGCCACTGCACCCAGGATTGAGTGTTTGCCCCTTTCCCACTATCCCTATCCCCAAATGCCACCGGCACAGACAGCAGAAAATGAGGAATGCAAATGGGTTTGGAGGGAGGGGGACTTCCTGTGCACACTTACATTGGGTCAGTAAGCCTCTCAGTGCGAAATGTGGCATTTTGTTGGTGTGTGGGGGAGCCTATTGGCAGCCAGAAGGTTAAAGAAAAAACTATGTAACAGGAGAAAATCAAATACACCTAAGGCGATAATAAAATAGAACATCTTGAAATACCAGACTACAGGAACTGAAATTCTTCCCATCACAGAACCTCATGAGCAGGACATAGCTTTTGCTCTGTCCCTATTCACTGAGGAGCAAACCCATCATTTGCACTGACAAGTTGAGAATGAACTGCAACATTGGGACTGAAAGTACTATCTAAATAAAAAAAAAAAAAAAAACAAACAGAAAAAAATCTGCCTTTGCTGCTGATTGTATATCTCTGATAAGACAACAGTGGATTGAGAGAGAGGTAAAAAAGTAAGGAAAGAAAACTCCTTCCTAAATTGCAAAAAAAATACATTATAAATAAAGACAGAACTATGTCCTTAAATTTACACCCCCCATAAATGTCACAGTATGTTGATAGTACACCACGGCTGCACTGAGCTACCACTATGTTTTAAGCTTGTACAGTTTGCTGTGTTCCCTAAGACTTCTCAATCACAGCTCTTCAAGTCCCTGCACTCCTATGCTATAGTTCTTCAATGTTTTACAGAAAGGAAAGAAGATCTACTTGGACTTATCTCCCATTCTCTCGTAAGTCTGAAAAAAAAAGGTGATACTTAAAACTCTTATTTCAACTCGTTTTTTTTTAAAAAAATAGTTATTGTTACCATTTTGTAACAATTACAATCTTAGTAAAATATTTTCTAAGAAAGTATGCTTGTTAACATTTTGTCTTTTTCAGTGTGAAAAGACAGGTATTCTCCTCTGTATTCTTCAAACTTTAGCCCAGGCCAAGAGGACATCCTTTTCTGGCAGGATTTGCAAGAACAGGGTTATTCATGTCAAGAAGGGCTCTGTATTTGGCAGCTGTTGCCTCAGCCAGCACTGGGACAGATCCTGGGACCTCCAGGGCTTCCAGTGCTGATCAGTAAATGCTTGAGCCCAAACTGCCAGGACTGTAACAAATGCCTTGGTTTTAACCACAGCATAGAATGTTATGTGCACTGCCATATTGGAAAGAGAACTTTTCTTCCCTATTTCTAAAGGTAACACAGAAAAAACTAAATTCTCTACATAAAATTACCCTGAAACATCTCTCAACGCCACCACAGACAGTTGGTCCAACACTAGAGATGCTGGACATTTAACCAGAGCATTAAGGTATCCTGCCTCTCGGTAGTTTCCCACATTCTTGGAGACTGCAACACAATGTAAATAACCAAGAGCTGACTAAATTCCATTCTTATGAAATCTGACAATCTACAGCTAGTTAAGACTCAAGAAAAAAGCTTTTTACTTTAATTCAGTAGAGAGTTCAGATCTTGAAGCACGAGATCCATTCCTCCTGCCTCTCCTGTTGAGCCACTGGATTAGACACAGCAAATGAAAAAAACACCTGCCTTAGGCAGTACCATTGATTTTTCAATGAATTACCATCTTCAGGATTTTCTTAGAAGTAGTTTACAGAGGTGGGTATTGTAACTCATTATTCTGAAAAATGTGAGGCATAATATATTCCCTAGCACAGATGCTATAAACTTTTATAATGTACACTTCATATAACCTTTTTTAATTGTCACTCTTTTACAACACCCTCCCCACTATTAGTCTAGGTCATCTATATGTAAACAGTCATTATGTGGCACCACTTTGTAAAAGGCTCCTTAATCTACCATGGGAGAAAATCAGTCTACAATGGCATTATTTCAAGTCCTGCATCATAGCAATTAAAAAAAAAATTCATCCTAATCTGTGCATGTAATATTAATGTGGATGTATGCCATTATAGGGCTTTGGATAAGGGAGGAGAAAAACATTCTGTAAAATGTATTTTACTGGGGGAAAAAAAAAAGCAGGTCTAATAGGAAATCCAGGTTTTACCAGTTGTCCAGTTTTCGAAGTATGGTTTTGATTTATGGATCAAAATTGCTCATTTATTATTTTATCTATACTGCTTTGGGCAATTTTGACAGTTAAAATTTAGTTTTATTGACCAATGCAGCCAGTTTAGCCACAAGGGGACTAATGCACACACAGCCTGCTGCACTCAAGAAGCTATGATTTGATTCCATGACCAAGTCAGACTGGGAATCACAACCAACATAACAATAAGTTCCAAATCTCGATGCTCGAGGCAAAATACTTACTCTAAAACCAATCCACTATTAAAAGAAGGTGGGAAAGAATTTTGTGATAGCAGCCTCCATGCACTGTTTATTGTAGCTGATATATTCCACCAATGCTTCTGTCAGCAATGGACGCAGGGTAGTACAGAGGAAACCTTTCTTTAATGATTGTGGACAACAGATAAAGCTGGAAGAAGGAAATGAAAATGCAAAACAGAATCAAAGGTGTGCTCTAGTACTACGGCTTACCAGGGATCTGACTCTTGAGAAAAATGTCTTGAAAAAAATGCCTTTTTTTTTTCCTAAACTAGATTTTATTCATATATACATAAATATGCATGGGTTCATGTTGCATCTTGAAAGACTTACAAGTCTACTTTTAAAAAACTTATTGGAATGATTTTAAGCCAATGTTAATTTAGGCCTATCCTATTATAAAATTAGCATCTTCTGCAATCTCAATTTATTGCTCCATTGTGAAGCCCCTTGTGATACATAAACAAATCTCTGAAGAGAAACAAATCAATAAAGTGTCTAATTTGATTAACCATGTTTTTAAATTCATCAAGACAACTGTACAAAAATAAACCACTTACTTGTCAGTATTTTCCACGTCTTCTTTTCATCATCATAATACTGAACCAAATTGCTGGGTAGCCGGTCAGGTCCGGGAGGCAATCCTCCAACCAATAGCAGCATTTTCTTATTGGAACGAATTCTTCACCCAAAACAAGAGGAAAGATGAACAACCACATTACTGAGGAGTATTTTTAGTGGCAACAAAATCATAACCATCAAAAGAATGTTCACTGCTTGCAGTTTTCTATTTCATTTTTTTGTGTTTCTTTTCCCAATCATGTCTCAACAATTTCTTGAACCAAGCAGAAAAATGATCAGAAAAGCTGCGTATCTCTCTACTCATGGAATAATAAGCTTCCTTTATGCAATTTGTTAGAGGTTCATTCTAGAACGACCTTTTTCTTATATTATCCCTTTAAATCATCACTCTTTACAGCTGAATACACATGAAATGCTCTGGAGTTGTACTAAGGTTAAGCATTAAAGTTGCATGTCAAAAATCGTATTAGTCAAAATCATTATTATAAGCCATTCTACACTCAAAGAACCTTGAAAAAATTAAGGTTATGCAGAGAGTTTGTGAGCCAACTCTTTAATCACACACTGAACTTCAGATATATAGTTTAGTACAATTAGCAGCACTGGGCTAATGGTTATGGGTTAAATGCTACTTACAAGCACTTTTGTTTGTTTAATTTAGTCCAGACTCTTGCTTTCATTCTCCCCCCCGGCTCCCCCCCTCGTCTTTGCTCCCCCCCTGTGCACCACTGGCTATAGCAACACCAATTGGTAAAAATGAGACTGTGATGTTGTTGTGAGCCTCCCCAGAGTGGAGCCCTGCCAATGCTTGCCACTGATCCAGCGGCATGAACCTGCTCAACTGTGCAAAGTCACTCTAATTCCCTCCCTCTGTTTTTCTACCTTCTCCCCCAGGGGGCAACCACTGAAAGGAGTGACTACCCACCCATCAAGAGCTGGCAATTCGCTGCTATTAACCGTGACCGTGATTCCCAATCTGCCTGGCAGTTCTTAAGAACAGGACTGCAATGTCTCATCTGCAGTAAAAGTGGTTATCTGCACCCTGGCCTCCAATGCCCCACCTGATGAACGTACAATTTCTCTGCAGCATGGAGGGATTTAGCACAATTGTAAGTGAAAACTGGAGGGGAGGCACAGACCCCCAGATGAGCCCTGATGCTTTAATAGTCACTTTGCATATAATTGGACTTTCACCAGTTATACTCAGCTTGGGTGAGATAGCACTGTTTAGGCTCAAAATGTTCCTGTAAGGTAGGAAGGTGATGTAGCCTGGAAAACAGCCATCCATGTGAGTGACTGTGCAGTGGGACCATGCATTTGATGGAAAACACCCTTGTCAAACATCATTTTTCCAGGCATGACAACACCTGTGTAGCACTCTGTGTGTCAGTCTGCAGCAAACACTCCAGCCAATAAAGGCACAGAACACCAGGAACCAAAGCCTACCACCAGAGATGCTTGTGGTGGGGTCAAAGCACCTCCCAGGAGCTCCAAGCTCAGCAGTGAATTCCAGCAATGGGAGCTTTGCAACTGAGGCACACTCATGGCTTCACTCCAGCTGCTATCCAGAATATGTGCTGGTGACCCAGTGATTCACATTTGTAGCAGAACTGCATCTTCTTTTGAGAAGAATGGGCAAAACCAAACTAGATTGTGCTGTAGACATGCACCAACCACAAGGAACATCCCTCAGGAAGGGAACACACAGCTGAGGGCTTGATCCACACTATGCTCCAGAATAAAATCTGTCAAATGGCTGTCCCAAAGACAACTATAGACTACAGATACATCTATGACAAGGATGGCCAGGGAACTATCTGGCATATGGCCTCATCTGTTTTTTTAAACAGATTTAGGACTCAGAGAAGGTCATGAATTCACAGTGGATGAAACAAAACCCTCAGTGCAGGAGCAGGAGTTAAACCATGGGGGCAGTGACACTGTCCCACACTGTCCTACCCCTTAACTCTCTCCCGACTTGGGGAGAGCCCCTGCAGTCCCTCAGTCTTTCTGACAAGCCAGCCTTTGATGCTTGCACTGCACCTGCTATGTGCTGTCAATGAGCACTGTTACCTGCCCAGCAGGCTGTGGCTGTGTAGGATACCAGGAACCATCTCATGATCACTGTTAGCACAGATTCCATTCCATTCCATCAGCACAGATTTCCAAGCTCCAGGGAAAGCTTACTAAAGCACTGCCAGCATCTTATAATGTTCAATCTCCCCAGTAAAGTTTTTAATGAGAGAACATTTGATATGTTCTGTGCAACATGGGAGTATGATAAACTGGTTTTGGTATGAGTTAGGGATGGCTGCACAGGTAACAAGTGGCAGAGCAAACCAGAGCCATAAGTCAGTTATGCATGACCATCCCTAACAATAGAGAATAAATTGTTTATTCCAGCCCTCCTGTGTTGTATGTTATATCACAATCAACTCCCTGTGCATTGTAAAATTCAGAATGCCCTTGCAAGGTTTACTTGATAAAGGAGTTTATTTTGATTTTCATCTTTCATCTGTAAAACTCCTTTCTAACTCCAAAGCACTGTGAAAATCCAATGAATGGCCAAGGCTCAATAGTTAAGGTGAAGAATGAAATGTCAGATATAACTCTGAGTTTCCAGACTTTGGCAGTTGCAACTATCCTTAACATTACTTTTTCAGTCAAACAGACCAGGAATCTACTGTTTCCTGAGAAGGAGCAGTGCTGCTATATTGGTATGCTTAAAAAATACTAATTTCTAAAATATCTTTAAAATGGGAAGCAGCAAGAACAGAGACTTTTAGTAAAAGTTCAGTAAGATGTGAATAGTCAGCAAAGTCTCTACCAAAAGCACAGGGAAATTTCACATGGCAAAGAAGAGATGGGTACTTATACCCAAAATATCTAATTTATCTGCATTGAGAGCTCTTCCAATGAACTAAGTAAAGATAATACAGTGGCTAAAGATATGCAGGTTTTAAACTGATATGTCTCCTTGGAGCCAGATCCGGTTTTAAGTTTTAATGTGAAATGCTGCAATTTAGGTTTTGAAAAATATTTTCTTTATTATGTTATATTTATGCTTCATATTGCACTAAGCAGTACTGTTAGAATCTTATAATACATTCTAAAATATGAAAAACATGTAAATGGCCACTTCTTATATGCAGAAGACTTTTCCAAATATTAATAAAAATGTTATTCAGTGAAACACTGTGATGAAGACAGGATTCAAAAATATGTGTAATACACTGAGCAAGATAAAGCTTCCCCCTCTCAGGTGTTATTACATGTTTGCTATTTGGATAAGTCAAGATTACAATGTGAAATGTTCTTCATTATATATGACACACTCTTTTTTTTTTAACAGTCTAATATTCTATTCAGTTAATGCTGTGGTTCACAGTGTCCCCAGCAAGGATTTTATGATCACCTTGTGTTCCATTAACAGTAGTGGGTCTTGGTCAGGGAAGGCTAAGCTGTGGACAGGCAGGCTGTCATGGCAAAAAAGGTGAGATAAATTTATCCACATGTTATCTTGAAAGCATTACTTAGATTTAGACTCCAAAACTCTAGTTCTCACTGATGAACATGCATGTGTTGTTATTATTCTGCACACACTTTGCAGTTTCTGTTCGGCTAAGATTTTAAAACACTTAATTCACCTTAATTAAGTTCCTGGGTACCTCATGTGGTGTGAAATTTATTTTGTCTACTTACAAGACTGGAAACCAAAGTATATTTCAAAGTCAACATTTTCAAACTTATGTAGTTTCCCTCAGGCACACAAACCCAGGAATTTGAGCACTCACAGAAGTGGCTTCATTTTCAGAGATAGCCATCAACATAACTAAATCCTACTCACTTCAAAGGTAGCAGCAGATGCCCATCAGCTCTAAAACTCAGATCACCAGTCCATGGTCTAAATTAACCATGAGTATTCATGGCAAGAGACTGAGCCCAAGAGAGTTTATAGACTCACAAGAAATTGGCAGAAAAGGCTGTTAGAAACCTCAACACTCCTGTAACCACTCCTACTCTTTTGCAACCATGATGGCCTCATGTTAATGGAAAACGCATGAATGGGAAATACTCTTCTTGTACATTGTTTTTCTTTATTAACATATCCATCAATCTTGCACTGGTGGGTTTTCCTTATCTGGGCAATTAGTAGAAGTTCATTCTACAAAAGCTGGCAAGAAAACAAGCCTCAACAACAGGTTTGCTCCAGACTCTTCCAGTTTTTAAACAATGCTCTGCCCTCTGTATTAGGGAACGCAAATAAATGGAAAGAATACAATCATGAAGTGGCAATCCTGTGGTTCTTAATGCATCCAGTGTAGTGTTACATACCAGAAAGAGAAAGGCATCCTAAGACATACAAGTGATCATCGTCATCGGTGAAAAAAAAAAAAGAAAAGAGTATTCAACTATACTTTTCTCTTAACTCAGGGCTATAGTGAACCCAGAAGTCTGGATCATTAATTATCTTTTCATAAAGGCTATCACCATGGGTTTGAGTATGGGTAGCTCTTCAGAGCAGGGACCTGACCTTAAACACAGCAGAGCCAAACAGAACTTCAGGTGTTTGCCCACTGAACTCAAGCACAAACAAAATCAGCCATAAGAGCAGCACAGCCTCAGTAAGGGCAGGTGAATACATGGTGAGTTTTATCTACATCCTCATATCTCATTACATCAAAGGATTTGAGAAACCTGAGTCTGACAGTGACACTGTCAAAATAAGTAGCAAGAATCTCAGAAAAGGGGGCTGTGTTAACCTGTAGCAGAAACAAATTATTTCAGAGAGGTTTAGACACCAACCTCTAGGTAATAGAAAAAGAGATGCATACTATCCCAATCAACATTTCAGTTGCTGACCTTTTGTTTGTAAACACCAAAAACTTAATTTCACCTTCAGAAACCAGGATGGTCTTTAGCAACCTTTTTCTTCTCAAAAGGGATCTGAAGGGATGCTCTGTTCAACAAAAAATGTAGTTGACAATCTAGTTTCAGTGTGCAAAACTGAACAAATGTTGCAAGCATCCATTTGCCCGTGACTGAAAAAAATGTTTTGCTATCAAGAACATGGGATGTGATCTTCAACAATTACCTTCC